CGGCTCGAACTATGAGGCTGAGTAAAAATCACCCATCTCATAGTTCTCCTTTAACACTGCATTGCAAAAATAAAATAAAAATTGCTGTAATGAATACAGAGCTGCTCTAATGTGCGTATTTTATTTAAAGAGCGTTGCTTCACACCTTGTACAAATTGCAACAGGAGGAGTGAGACGCCAACGTGAGGGAGGCAGAGCCGGAAACTCTGATGAAGAGAATCCGGCACGGTGCCTTGGAGGCGGAAGAGGCAGCTTCAGCAGTGTCCCCCCATAACTAACATACCCCATTAAAGGGGTTCGTGCAATCCCGCTGGCCCTGTGCTGGGTGTAATCTCTACCTTTGTTTTGACATGCGATCTTACCTTGCCTGCGCTCGCTTCCCCCGCGCTCCACATGTGACACCGCCGTCTCCTCCACAATACAGAGCAATTATCAGGGTGGATCCCGGACACCTCCACCCAGATCCAAACAAAATGTTCAGCCGTGTTGGATCTGGAACTTCCAGCTGAACACACCTTGTACATTTCCAACCCCAGCCTGCACCCTGCCGGATAAAGTCATAATATAATAATATATAGTGTGCAGCTAGGAACAAAAATCACCCTCCCTGGGCCGGGGACAGGTATCCTGGGTGCTCACTGACCAGAACATTTACTGCATTAGCTACTTTATAATGCACAGAGAATATAAAGGCCTCATTCACACGGGAAACGGCCGGCACGTACAGCTCCGTGCTGCGTTGCCGGCCGTATCGGGCAGCTCCCGGGAAGGACAGGTGCTGCGTGTGATTAGTACGCAGCCCCCGTCCTTCCCTATGGGAATACACGGCCGTACGCCGCCCTATGCTCACCCGCCCTGCACGTCCATGCGGGAGCGGGTGAGCGTACTCGTACGCTAACAGGATGGATATTGTCTGCGTTCGAGCCAGGAAACACGCAGCCGCACGGACCTGCACTTGGGGTGAGCGTAGGGGGGCGTACGGCCACGTACTCCCATAGAGAAGGACGGGGGCTGCGTACTAATCACACGCAGCGCCTGTCCTTCCCGGGAGCCGCCCGATACGGCCTGATTACTAGGGATGTCCTGATACCAGTTTTTTAAGACCAAGTACAAGTACTGTGGCTCAGGTCCTCGCCAATATCAATTACCAATACTTTTTCTTAAAGGGACATGTGACATATTTTCTAAAACAACACAGACTGATGATTTTAGGGCAGTTTCTCACCAGAGCTAAATACAGAGGTCACCGGGGCTAAATACAGATGTCACCAGGGCTAAATGCAGAGGTCACCAGGGCTAAATGCAGAGGTCACCAGGGCTAAATGCAGAGGTCACCAGGGCTAAATACAGAGGTCACCAGGGCGAAATACAGATGTCACCAGAGATAAATACAGAGGACACCAGGGCTAACTACAGAGGTCACCAGGGCTAAATACAGAGGTCAACAGGGCTAAATACAGAGGTCAACAGGGCTAAATACAGAGGTCACCAGGGCTAAATGCAGAGGTCACCAGGGCAAAATACAGAGGTCACCAGGGCAAAATACAGAGGTCACAAGTGCTAAATACAGAGGTCACCAGGGCTAAATACAGATGTCACCAGGGCTAAATACAGAGGTCACCAGGGCTAAATACAGAGGCCACCAGGGCTAAATACTAAATGTCGCCAAAACAGAACACATGTTCCTAAGGCGGAATAGTATTCTGCTTTGGGGACATGTATTCTGCTTTGAGGACATGTATTCTGAGAATACATGTCCCCAAAGCAGAATTCATCTCACCAAGCTGCGGGTCGATCTCACCCTGGGCGACATGTGGACATCTGCAGGGCTCTGCGGGCACCCAACCTCACTGACAATGCTGGAACCCAGCCTCCTCCACGTCCAGACCGGCGATGCTGGGCCCCGGCCTTTTCCACCGGCAGACCGTAGGCCGTCCGGCTGAACCATCTCCACGGCTGGGCCCCCCCGACCTCCATCCTTCTCCAGGCCCAGTCCTCCCCTGTCAGTGGGCGGCAGGACCTCCCAGCTTCTAGCTCCAGGGCGGGTGCTCCGGCTGCACCGCCGGTAGTTCCGTCCTTGGGGCTGTCCATGGCTGTGCCTGTGCCGGGAAAGAGAAGGAGGAGATAAAGAACCGGGCAGGCACTGCCATGGACAGCTATCTGCGGGTCCCCACACGCACGGGAACTCAGCAGCCGCTGCTATTTAAAAATGTAAAGGGCCGGTATCGGGGCATTTTCACAAGTACTCGTGACTGGTACCTGCCCCGATACTGATACTAGTATCGGTATCGGGACATAGTTTCTGCTTCCTGCCAAGTACAATGCCGTATCTACCGAAAGAGAGCTCCAGATATAAAAGGAAACGCAGCTTTGTATTACGCCATTAAATGTATTTATTTCAATCAGTGACCTCCCCTCGTCTCTCATGTTTCCCATGCAAATGATATGAATAAAATGCATCGCTATACTCTATATTGTTTCATTTTATTCCAATGTGATCTTAAAGGAGAACTATGGGGTCAGTGTTTTTCCCCATAGTTCTCCTAAGGGTCACGGGAGGACACAAACTAGCGTCCTCCCGTCACCCAAAGCTCAGAATACCGCAAGCTACAGCTCGCTATATACTGAGACGCCGCAGCCAAGACGGATCCCAACATTACTGTCTGGATCCCTGCAGGGAGCCGTGAGTGACAGTCACGGCTCTCTGCAGGGACATGATCGAGAAGTGAGCGAGCGACGGTATGTGTTCCCGATAACTCACTTCCCGATCTATTGAGCCGACGTGTGACAGTTTCACTATGAGGAGGAGTAAAAATCACTCACCTCAGTTCTCCTTTAAAAGAGAACTATGAGGGGGGTGCTTTTCACTCACCTCATAGTTCTAGCCGAGCTGGGACAATGAGACTGTCACAGATCGGCTCAGTAGATCGGGAGGTGAGCGAAAAAATACCGGCGTTCGCTCACCTCTAGATCCTGTCACGGCTCTCTGCCGTGACAGGGGAGGGGCTGGATTCCCCCCTCCCCGCTCCGATTCGCCAGCGCTGACTGGCGGAACGGACGGGGGGAGGGGCGGGTACAGCTGGCTCTGCCTCTAGATAGGCAGAGCCAGCTGTCAGTCACGCAGCTGGGCGGATCCCGGCACAATTGTCGGGATCCGCTTCAGATGCGGCGTCTCAGTATACCTCGAGCTGTAGCTCTCTATATACTGAGCCTAGGGTGACGGGAGGACGCTAGTTTGTGTCCTCTCGTTACCCTAAGGAGAACTATGGGGAAAAGCCCTGACCCCATAGTTCTCCTTTAAGATCCGAATGTTGTTTATGATTTCCTCATGCAGATATCTGCATACTGTATCTTCTATGTATATATTGAAGGGGGAAGGGGGAGTTTTTGGCCCCTGAAACGTGTTGCGTGTTTTATACGACCAGATCACACACAATAGAAGCACGTTGGTCTCTCTCATCTTTTCATCCTTTCTATATCTCTATGGTTTGACTCTCTGTGCTACTGAACTGCTCTCGGCCCGCTACTCCCTCCGATTTCGTCAGTTCCCCTTCTAGCCGCGTTGCTTTAGCAGCATCGAAGTCGATCTCCTTTACAGAACATTTCCGCCTCTCGTCTGTTTTATCTTTTCATCTGCAGCCCAATACAAAAGTTTTTTTTTGTAACTTTAAAGCCCAACGGCACACAAACCTTTTAATCTCCTGTATTTTAGCAGAGTGGGATCTGGTTCCTCGCCGGGTTATCACTTACCGTGTTCCTTGTCACAGAGATTGCACCTCACTTCCTGTGTGGTCACCGAGACGGAAAGCGACGGGAAATGAGTAACAAAAGCAGAAATTTCATATTTAAAACAAGAGCGTAACTCTGGGCCAAATTTTCATGGTCCCCCAGCGGGTGTTCCTTAAAGGAGAACTATGGGGTTAAGTCTTTTCCCCATAGTTCTCCTTAGGGTGATGGGAGGACACAAACTAGCGTCCTCCCGTCACCCTAGGCTCAGTATACCGAGAGCTACAAGTCGCGGTATACTGAGACGCCACAGCTGAAGCGGGTCCCGACAATTGTGCCGGGATCCGCCCAATGTTCGCTCACCTCCCGATCTACTGAACCGACCTGTGACAGTCTCAGAACTATGAGGTGAGTGAAAAGCACCCCCCCCTCACAGTTCTCCTTTAACACTGCACTGCTCACCTTTAGTCCTAAGCCGCTCCCCGCAGTACTTCTTTTCTGCCACAAGGTGTCCTCAGTCTTCTCGAATGAATGGACACTGGATGGAAGACTAAGGACATCTTGTGTCATAGAGAAAGGTGTCATAGGTGCACCTCCTGAAGGGGGCGCCACCATAACTCCCTGCACTCACAGTGCAAAGATGAAGAGAGACAGAGCAGAGTCCGGGCACAGAGCAGAGTCCAGGGACAGAGCAGAGTCCAGGCACAGAGCAGAGTCCGGGGACAGAGCAGAGTCCAGGCACAGAGCAGAGTCCGGGGACAGAGCAGAGTCCACGCACAGAGCAGAGTCCGGGCACAGAGCAGAGTCCGGGCACAGAGCAGAGTCCGGGGACAGAGCAGAGTCCGGGCACAGAGCAGAGTCCGGGGACAGAGCAGAGTCCGGGGACAGAGCAGAGTCCAGGCACAGAGCAGAGTCCGGGCACAGAGCAGAGTCCGGGCACAGAGCAGAGTCCGGGGACAGAGCAGAGTCCGGGCACAGAGCAGAGTCCGGGGACAGAGCAGAGTCTTGCATTGCCTCATGGGACTTGTAGTCCTACAACAGCTGCAGTGCTGAGGCCGATGAGGGAAGATTCACCTGCAGGGAATGATCGGTGAATGTCAGTCTGTCAGCGTGCGTCCGCTCCGAGGTACAGATCCCCCCTCCCCCCGCAGCCCCCATTGGGGTTTAGAAGATGGCGGGCGAGTACTGTACCTGGGGGGGGGGGGGGGGGGGGCGCCCCCCCCT